TTAGATCATTATTAATCTTTTCCTTATCTTTCTAATGATTTAGGATAGGTGGTACAGGATTGAGACTTTGACAGTTTTGTCATTTTGGTTATTGCTTTAACTATTTATTTTGAATTGTATAATTTTTTTGATTCAAATTATGTATAAAATTTTTATGAAACATAAGTTTATTATTGAAAATAAATGTTCTATTTATATCTGTTTATTAATAAATCCCTTGAAAATTTTTGTCAAAATTTGATATGCCAATTTCTTTCTCCTTATTATCATTTTCAGGTTTAAATATACATTGTGGTTTCCTGCAATAGCTGATTTTTTAGCTTTTTTATGAAGATTTATCACTAATATTTTAATTTAATTTGATTAAATCATTTGTAGACTTATCAATTAATCTAATATAATTTAATGTATAGTTATTTGTAGATTATTAATTAATTTCATTAAATATTTAATCTAATTTAATTAATTAAATTTTTATTACTTCAGTTGACCTTTGATTAATTCATGTAATACATGCTGCTGAATAAAATGGCTTTGAGGTATGTGAAAAATATTATATAAACAAGAAGGCATTAAGGATAAGAAATGAATTGTAATTAGAGATTATGTAATGCTGCTGCTGCTGAATAGGGTGATGGAAAGTGGTTGGAGAGAGAATATTTCATTTTTATCATTTTTTTTTCTATATTTTTCCTTTAATTAATAAAAGTTGTGTATAGATTTTCTTTTCTAGTGTATTTTGGACTATAAGTTATATTCATTGTAATTTTACAACTATTGTATCTTTAATTTTTGTTGTCACATTTTAAAATCTTGATTCCATTAATATGAATTTTATCACTTTTTCAATTATAATTGATCAAATTATTTGCCATTTTCTCTATTGCTGTATTCTTAATTATTTAAAATAGGATTTCCAAATGAATTTCTTATCAATTATCTCCAGTTTGTCTGAAACAAAATTATTCTAAAACTAAAATTTGATTGTTTTATTTTAATTCATTAATGTTTTTACAAGTTCTATGACAGAGCAAAATCAGATTTATATATATTATGTATGCATCGATTTTCTTAATTTTCTTCACTTTTTTTTTATTCAATACTTCATTTTTTTTGAAGACTATATTTTGAATCAGGATTTTTTACAGATCTATCAAAGTAAAGTTATTTTTATTAAATATTTTAAAAACAGAAACCTTTCCAGTTGAGATTTCTGTCAAAGGGTAAGTAAAAAGGAACAAGATAAAAAAGAGTTCTTCCATATCATGGCTTTTTTTTACTAGGATGAAATTTTATTGGGGTAAACAATTGGTTTATCCAATCTGGTTTTTTTTTAATTGTTTAATACAATTATAGTTTGTAATGTAAATCTTTTAATGAATGCATTTGCATGAAATATGCCAACTGCTGAAATTTTCAGAAATGAATATAATTCCCTATCAATATATATACAGTATATATAGCTTTGAATTTTTATGGAGGCAGCTGACTTTTCTTATCTAATCTAATTTTAGGTAGATAAATTTTTGTAATTATTAATTTAATTTGGGGGAGAATATCACCAAGTGCATGCTCTCAATGGAACCTTCAGAAGCTTTCATATTAGGTAATGTAGTATTTATTTAATTTATTTTATTTTTTATTTATTTAATTTAATTTTATTTATTTATTTAGTTTTATTTAATTCATTTAAGCATTAAATTGTTTTAACTGCTTAACTATGTTAATATTAATTAACATTAATGATGATCAATCATCTACCTTGATCTGTTTATCTGTAAGTTTAATTTTGTGGAATAATCCTAAATCAAAAGTAATTTTCTTTATTCAAAATAACTAAATGATAATGTCAGTATTTTTTATTTTTATATTTTTTTTATAAAAAAAATATAAATAATAATTTATTTGCCTATTCTTTTTATTTGACTTCTTTCTTATGCATTAGAAGTAATTGTATTTTATTTATTGTGCTCAACATGAATGAAACTTTATTTATTATGATATATAAATAATAGTATGTGTTGATCATATCATAAATCTTTCTGGTTGCTGATTGATATTATATCAAAGAAAATATCTGCTCTATCTGTCAATTCAATTTCAAAAATATATTCAGATGTTTTAGCACTATTAATTAGGTTGGGATTGTGATAAATTCTTAGTCATGCCAAAATTATATATATTGTTTCCTCATATTTTGGCCTTTTGCATGTTCACAATGAGCTTCATTTAATTTATTTCTATTTGATTTTTTATTATAGCAAAATTAAAATATGGGTGTGCTAATTTTTTCTTTCAACCCAATTTTAGTTAGGTTATAACCAACTTTAACTTCATTTACTCTTCATCTTATCAATGTGAATAATATGTAGCCTACTGTTTGGGTAAGATAATCCTTTTTCATATGGTAATATTAGAAGAATGGTCATTGGCAAATTCTGAGTCCCTATATTGTAAGGAGGATATATATGCAATCATTTTAGTAAAAATAAGAAAATTTTTGAAAATTTTGATTATCAATTTCATTTCTCAATAAATTATTTTTTTAACTGTTATTATATTAACTAATTATCATTTTTTGTTTTTAATTTTGATAATATATAATGTGAATTAAATCTAAATCAAAATATTTTATATAATACTTTTTCTTTATCAAAATATTTGTTTTTCATTTTGTATATTCATAAATTATGTGTTAGAAATGGTTGCTATTTTATTTATTTTGTTTAATGTGAGAGAAACTTTATTTAATATAAATAATAATAAACATCTGATCAAGTAATTACATTATACCAAAGAAAATATTTTATCTGTCAAAATTAAAAAATATTCAGATGTTTTAATCTCGATAAATTGATTTTTTAGTGGGAGATTGGAGAATCATTCTTACATTTTTCTTTTATCCTGTAGCTTTTTTGCATGTTCATTAATATTAATGAATTGTTTGATTTTTCTTTATTATAAATTTAAAATTAAAAATATAGAATTGTTTTGATTGTTACATTCAAAAAAAAATATTTATATAATTTGTGGTTTATTTTTCTTCCCCGATTTATTTAGGTAATAATTAAGATGAATTTAATTTAATTTATTATTTGTTTATTTATTATTTAATTTTTTTTTTTTTTTTTCTAATTTTTACTTAAAATATAATTAAACCTCCTAAAAAAAGAACTATATTCAAAATTTTCATAAAATAAGGAAAATTAATAAAATAAACTTTCTCAGCATAATTAATAATATTATCGTCGTCATTATATTTTTTCATGTATATAAATATATTTACTTATTTTTTTTGTTTATTTTATTTTTTATTAATTGTTTTATTTTATTTTGTAAAAGAATCAACCTAAATAAAATAAAATTAAAAATTAAAATCATATACTTAACTTAAATATCTAAATGAAAGATGCCGAGAATCCAATATTAAATCTAATCAAACCGATCAATCTATTTACATCAAATCTAAACTAATGGAAGTAGGGAAGTGAAAGACGCGATAACGACGACAACAGCAACAACGATATCATCATTAGCAATGCGCCACAGATACCAGAGATGAAAGAAATATCCCTCATTGTAGTAGTAGTCGTCATAATCACCAGTATACATCATCGAAAATCCATCACGGATATTTGTTATTATAACAAATTATCTGAAGCCATTATTGTTTTAAAGATATTGTTGACTTGGTGTTTATTTCGTTTTATTTCTTATCATTAGTTTGTTTTGATTTTTTATTATTTATAATCCATATAATCCAACAGATAACACAATTACAAATTTTTATATTTTAATTAAATAATAGTCAACTTCTTCCTCGAAGATTTTGACATCTTAAATTTTGATTCAATTGAATGTCTCGTTTTTCTATTTGATAAATTTTCACTTCTCACCTACACATTTTCCATTCCTCAATCTTGTCTTGTATATTTTTTGAGTTATGACAAAAATTCAAAAATTGATGAAGAAGATTTAAAAGATTTAATGAAGAAGGTGATGATGAAGATGAAAGGAACTCCATAACTTATAATAAACATAATAATGATTATTATAATAATATTAATAATAATTATAATTACAATAATAATAATATTATTATTATTAGAATTGATTACAATAATTATAATTGATAATAAACAGTTTGTAGATTTTTAATGAAAATCGTTCCGTGTTTTTTAGTGAAAAAAAAAATCAAATTGGATGCTAAAATAAAAAATATATTTTTTTTTTATATTCATTCTGGAATTTTTTGGTAAAAGGGTCCATAGCTATAGTGCCGAAAGTAATGAGATGCACTTTTACGTTGATTAATTTGGTCACCTTTTTGTTTTTTGTAAAATTGTTCAAATAAGATTTTGTGTTTTGATAAATAAAATATTAGAACGTTTAAATTAGAATGTAAATTTAATAAATGAATAGTCATAACCATAAAAATAAATTTTTATTTTCGTGTGTGCTGATTTTTCTTTATTTGAAAATATGTAAAACGTTAAACTTGTAGATAAAATCGGATTTATTAAAAGATTAATTGGATACAAGCTTAAAAAAATAATTATAAATTATAATTGGTAACTTGCAGTAAGGCCGAACATAGAGCAATTCATACCTCATTTGAGTTTTTTTTTTTTTAACAAAATGGTTTTCGATAATGGTCTTCGAATTTTATGATCAAACTTTTCCCAATGCTTTTGGAATTTTCTTTTTTTGATAAAGGGAAAGACCAATAAATTTATTTCATTTTTTTATTTTATTTTATTTTTGTTATCTTTTTAGATTTGTTTTTATTTTAAAAATAAAATTTTAATATTCTTCCACCGATTTAAACGAAATTGTGAATGATTTTGGGGATATCTTATTTTGAGTTTAATGAGTTTAATAAAAAATGAAATAATGTTAAATACATTTATACATTATCTTATAAATTTTTTTTTATTAAAATTATTTTATATTCCAAATAATAACGTAATTAAAAATAAAACCCATTAAAAACCCTACAATCATTCATTCGTCCATATGGCGGCACGTTTCTTTAAGAATGCTTCCATTCCTTCCTTTTGATCACGCTACATAATTTATAATTTTATTAATTATTATTATATATATTTTTTATATAAAATGAATTTATAAAAATAATGAAATAGAAAATTTGTTAGATACCAAAGAAAACAAACCGTAGAATAATCTTCTTTCGAAATGATTTCCTTCACTCAGTGATAATTCATATGCTTTCACAAATAGAATGAATTAGGATCAGAATTAGAATTAATTAGAAATTAGAAAAAAAGAATTCATTAAATATATTGTTTAAATATATTATCAAATATTGATTACCTTGATTAATCGATTCTTTAGCAGCTTGAATAGAAGGTTGAGAAAAACTTGCAATTTCTTGACCAAGTTTAATAGCTTCTCCAATTACTTTATCAACCGGTAATACTTTGCTAACTAATCCCCATTTTTCAGCTTCTTGAGCTGTAAAATTTCTACCTGATAATATAATTTCCATAGCTTTAGATTTTCCAATTGCTCGAGTAAGTCTTTGAGTACCTCCTGCTCCTATAAAACACAATAAAAATACAATAAATACAATAAATATATATATACAAATTTATATCTTGTTAAATCGAAAGGAAGATAAAATAAGATAAATTTGGAATACCAGGAATGACACCAAGTTTAATCTCAGGTTGACCAAATTTAGCGTTTTCCCCAGCATAAATTATATCACAACTCATAGCTAATTCACATCCACCGCCTAACTATTCATATGAATATATAATTATTTTTTTATTGTTGTTGTCATTAATTATAAAATTATGATTCTTTACCGCAAATCAATTAACAGCAGCAATAGTGGGTTTCCTGATTTCATTAATCTTTCCCCAGTTACCAAGGAAGTTTGTTTTATAAACTTGTGCGAAAGATTTGTCAAACATTTCTTTAATATCGGCACCAGCTAAATATAAATTTAATGTGGTTGTGATTAAGAACAATTTTTTTCCATGATGAATAAATTCCAAGATGATGATTATGATTCAAATAATTAATAATAATAATGATAATAATAATTAATAATAATAATGATGATGATGATAATAATAATAATAATAATAAATAATTATACAACCAGAAAAAGCTCTTTCACTTCCAGTAATCACAATAGCCCCAACATTTGGATCATTATCAAATTTTTCCAATACATCATTAAGCTCATGAAATAAATCAGTAGACAAAGCATTCAATTCTTTTGGTCGGTTTAATATGATTAAACGAACTTTGTCATGACATTCCGTTAAAATATATTTATGTTTACTAGAAGATTCATCCGAACTAGTATCGTGTATCACTAATCAATGTATTAAATTATATCAAAGTGATATATAAAATATATTTATATTTATATATTTTATATTTTTATATTTTTAATTAATTTAATTGAATAAAGAATTGGATAACCAAATGTAAGAAATTAGTGGGAAATTGGTAGTTGGTCAAAAAAGTAAGAAACTTACTGAGTAAAGTGCCAAAATAAGCGTTAGGGACATTAGGAACAATGAGTCTTGTTTGTGATAATGTACTTACAAATGAAGTGAACATTTTGAATTTCGAAATTTGAAAAATATAAGATATTTGTTTTGTCGATGTCGATCTTCATAAGATTTTATTATGGTTGTATGTATGATGGGGATCATATTCTTTTGGGAATTACAATGATTTAATTAGTTAAGAGTTCGAGGTCAGGTGGTTGTATTAGTTTTTCGCCAAATATCATTCATTTTTCGGTAATGTCACGGCACGAGAGCTCTCGTCCAATTGTTGAATACTGGGTAAACAACTCTTTTTTGGGAAGATTTTCGTGACTCGAAATGGAAAAAAAAGTTTTATATTTTCATTTAATTTAAAGGGGAGGAAGAGATTAAGAATTGAATTGAAATTTTAGCGATGTTTGACTGACAGGAAATTTGGAAAGGATCGCTTTTGTCAATTATTATCATATGTTCAATATGTATTATTCAGAAAATTTAAATCGAATTAATTCCGTAAGTCACTAAAATCATCAATATAAATACTGTATAATAAATGATAATTGATGTACTAATTTTGAAATATTCAATGGGCATTTATGAAGATCGATTCCAATTTTAAAAATGAGACTTCAGAGTTAATAATAGCCAATAAGGGATAGTTACGCATCATGTGATTCTGCGCAGGACCAGATCTTACCATAGAAATTTCACCCCCACGTGCTAAATTCATGGGTTAGGGTTAGGGTTTATCATGGGTAGTGTATTTATCATTGTGTATCACACCCTTCGAATATCAATTTTCATTAAATATTCTGGGGACAGAGAATTTTTTTACTTACGGAAAACATATTCGTCATCGAATATTCATATCCCTGTAAAAGCTACACGTGAAAAATTTCTGATCATCCGTCGAATTATGGACCAATCAAATTCAAAAAAATCAAAATATCATGTGGGGTGAAAATTTCTATGGTCTGCGCTGTGCATAATTGGTCAGATTGACATACTTAGGTATTTATTTTTGATTGTTTTGATTTTGCGTTTATGGTTATTAGATAAGTGTGAACGGCGGTTATGTGAAAAAACGCCACATCAATTTTTAAGTTGTTAAGTGTATATTTGATAATCACTTGTTTATATCATAGTTAGTAATTCTAGTTAAGGAATTAAGTTTTCAATTATACGAGCCTTTTTTGTGCAATTTATTGATAAATTTTATTTTGATTTGAGATTTTGGACATTATGATATAATTTATTATATGTAGGGATAGTTTGTTTATAAAAATTATAAATTTTTTTTTTTTCATTTTCGTAATTTGTATAATGTCATGTTATGGTGATATGATTGTTAAAGTTAATCAAGTCTGTCAATCTGACAAAGAAGACACAAAATTAACTGTTGTGTTGGGATTGAAGATTGTGAAATGGAGTTGGTTTTATTCGTTCCGTTGAGTCATTTTAAGAGAAATCCTAATATTCAGTCTGTTTTTAGAAGAGATGAATATTATAGTGTAGGCAAAAAGGTTGTGCCTAGAAATTACAATGGTAATTTGCGGTTAAAGATAATTGACAATTATGTTTATTTTTATATAATGTATTTGAATAAAATATACAAATAATTTTTTTTTATGTAGATGACCGTTACATCTTCAACTCATTTTATGATCAAGAAAGATCTTGGTTCAAATAAGTATCCGTTAAAGGTTTCGTTAATTGGCATTACTCAGGATATAGCAAAAGAAATTAATAATGAGAATGCGATGGTTAAAGTACTGGTAAAGAATTATGTTGGTCAGAGCAGTAATTTTATCGTTATGATAGTATTTCTATACTGTAATAGTCAATTTAAGCACTTGATAAATTCTACTAGACCAAATGAGTCATTACTTTTCATTGTGGAACATTTGAAAGTTATTCAAGATGATTTATACGTATATACTGTTGAGACTTCTTTTATTAATACTTATTCTGTGGACAAGAAAAGGATTTCCAGTTCTGATGATTTTCAGACTTTAACAGAGTTGTACAAAATGGTTAGATCAAGACTTTTACTGCTTACCAGAATGTTAGTGAAAGTTTAACTGAAGTGCCTATGATTGAAAATAGTGATAGAGGTGAGGAAGTGAATCAGTTCGTTATTGATTCATCAGCTTCTGATTTTCATTTATCTAAATGTATAAAAACGAAAAATAAGGATAAGTGTGTGACCGAACAGAACACGGGATGTATGAACGAAAGTAATGTACCTGAAACAAATACTGTTAGTGAGAACAAAAGAAGGGGTGTGGTCGTAAAAAGCAGTAAAGAAAAAATTATGTATAGCACAAGAAAGTGAACTGACATGTAATATTTTTTTTTAAAGTTTATTAAATAAATTTTTATTTCATGTGTAATTACAATGTTACATAATCGTAATATATTATTTTCGTTGTTATATTTCAGATGTTCAGTTATTTTTGAGTATTTTTCTAGACGTTCTAATCCTTTTTTGAGGTCGGAATTGATTATTATATTAAGTTTAAATTGGTTTAAAGGTCGAAGAATCATTATGTCCTTTAATCTTTGTACTCGAAATAACATTATATAGAGGCTGGTTCCGATTCTTTCACCATCTAAGTCTATGATTACTTTTTATAACGTAGTACCTTAACATTTGAATTCCGTAATTGCAAAGACTAGTGTAATAGGCATTTGAGTTCTTTGAAATTCGTGAGTTAAATTTGATCCATTTTTTGTTTTATATTTGTATTTGCATTTTCATTCGACTGAGGAAGATCATTATGAACTCAGTTTTTTATTTAAGCAGTGATCCATCTAAGATCTGCAGCAAATCATATGTTCTGATCGGGAATAATACTTATAATAACTTACATAGAGACGTTTGAATCTGATATCGTCCCTTATGCCAAAACATTGTAAAGTACAAGTTAAGCTTATAGAAATAGGCTCTCTTGTAGAGAACATTTATTATGGTCCTTTTTCTCATTTTTGGTGGAAACTTTCAAGTATATCCAATTCACAAAACTGATTTCCAATTAGAATAGGTCAGAAAACCCATACATATTTAAACGGACAAGATTTCTTTATAACAGTACAATTTTTTAATAATAAAGATCAAATACCCAAATACTTTTGTCAAAGTGGTAATGTTTCAGCTACAAAGACAAGTGCAACCAAAGCAGTTTCTAAAGTTTATCAAGATATTTTTCACAATGGAACTTGATTTTCAGGACCAATTGTAATAGGTTGGAATAATGAAAAAATTATAAATCTTCTCTCTTCTAATGTTGATTTTTATCCATTTACTTGTAAACTTGGAGAATATGAAATATTTATTTATAGGTTGAGTTAATCTATGTGTTTAGATTGGAATAAAGCAGGCAATGGTTATAAATTCTCACTTGTTCACATATATATGAAACGTCAAGCTATCTTTATATCAGAAATTGAAGATGACAAATATTTAGTTCATATTTATCAAGATTTTAAACTTCAAAAACATTTTCAGGAAATACTCCAAATGATATGTGGAAAGATTCAGGTTTTATTCAAAAGTATTCAGGAAAATAATTATTTGGATTAGAAGATGAAATCACACAGCAAAACTTCAAGAATTTTGTATTCCAAAATGTCTTCCTAATGAATGGAATAATTTTGAAATAATGAAAAGTTTATACAAATATAACCTTCAATGTAGAACTTCTGCAAATATCAACTGGCATGATTAATTTATCAAATGGAATCAAAGCGAAAATAATATAATAGAAATAAATTCAGAAATAAAATTATTATACCCACCAGAATATGAATTTTCTGATTGTGAGCTGGGTGCATGGTTTTCGATGCTTCGTGCTGCAGGTTGCCCCAATATTACTTCTTGGTTACGAGATGAATCTGAGGTATGATATTAAAATTATATTATTTTCAATATTACAATCTAATTCCAATATTAATATCTATTATTTCAATAGTATCAATTTTGAACTAAATCACAAAATTCAATGCAAGAAAAACTTTTGCTCGAAAATTTTTTTAAAATGGGATTTCTTATTAGTAATCCAACTTCAAATTACACAAAAACTTTTTGGTCTTGTTTTCGAAAAGCATTAGATGATAACCAAAAAAATAGAGATGGAAAATGTAGAATTTTATCAATAATAGCTAATGATTTTACTTATAAAGAATTAGAAAACAATTTAGATGTAAGTAAAAATTATCTAATAAAAAATAAATTAAATAATATTATCAAATATATAATAAAAATAAATATATTATTATAATTTTAAAGGTAGCAACACATACTATTGGTGAATCAAGAAAACATGCAATGGTAAATGGTTTTGGTTGTCCACCTCTTGTAAAACCTATATTTTATCGTTTAAAATTTACAATGGAGCAAATTAATCAATTCGAATATTTTTTTACAAGAAAAGATGTTGTTAATATGAGTTCCCATAAAAATTATTCACAATCAGGTTTACCAATAATGTATTTACAAGATCATAAGCAAGCACTTTGGGAAAAATTTTCTGAAGAATATCCAAATGGAATTCATCATACAGCATTTATGACATGTTTACAAGGAAGTAGATATGTTTTTCAAAATAATTTGGGTGGCCTTTGTTCAGAATGCAATGAATGTGGTTATGAAGTTTTTGCATCTATTGATACTATTATTGGTACTCATATAGGAGATGAAAGTTTGAAAGTATATATATATAATTTTTTAATTTTTTTTTAACTTTTAAAAATTTATATTTATTTTTATTATCTTTTATAGAAAAATTTGATTCAAAAAATTTATATTCTAAGAAGATATATTAGACATGAGTATATCAAAAACTTGAAATTTACCTCAGCAAAATTCCAATACATGAATCTTGCATATGTCATTGTTTTAAATATACTCTTGGAATTTGTAATTTTCAACATACCTAATATGTGATAAGTGTAAGGATCTTCTTGACTTTTTTGATCAAATAAAAAGTCATATAAATGAAGAATTATATGAAACATTAGATGATTATATGAAAAAACTTATTTCATGGATGGGTCATCATACACAAAAATTATATTTGGATACTCGTGTTCAAATAAATCTAGATAATTTAGATGAAAATGGAGCTGTAATAATAGTAGATTATAAATGAGGATATTGCCACAAAATGCACGCGAAATTAAATCTCAATTTTTTGGAAAAAGGGGTTGGACATTGCATTTATCATTAGTATATACAAAAGATATCACAAGTAATAAACTCAACATACAAGTATTTGGTCATTGGAGTGATGATACTGAACAAGATGCATGGTTTACAGCATCTTTTCTTCACACTGTTTTTGAAAATATTGATCCAAAACCAAAATGGATAACAATTATATCTGATAATAGTCCCATTATCATTGTATGGAATTGATATTAATAATTGGTCATTGGAATAATTGGTACAATATTGTTTCTCGAAAATGAATTTTTTTGGAAGCTGAAAAAGCCAAAACATTGATTGATTCTCATCATGCCCAAGTAATTTTATTTTATTTATTATATTTTTATTATTATTGTATTGAAAATGATAAATTTATTTTACTGATTTATTTTTATAAGATATCACAAGCAATAAAACAATATGTAAAATTAGGAAATACAATTGAAAATGATGATGATATAGAAATAGCTATCAATGAAATTGTGGGAACAAAATTTGCTAATTTATTACCAAATCAAAACCAAGGTATTTTCAATAATTTGAATAATTTGTAATTAATTATGACAAAAATTTATAATCCATATATTCTATTTAGAAAAAGGAAAAATTGGAACAATATTTGAAATTAAAAGCTATCATAAATGGACATGGCCTGACTAAGGAGAAGATATTAGTTTTATATATGCTAGAATTTTACCTGAAATTGGAGAATGGAAAAAATGGTCATCAACACAAATTGAAAAAATTCAGAAAGAATGAATCAATGAAAAACCAAATTCTCAATATTCTACTTACTCAGAATCCTCCAAAAAGTGGTCGTTACCCATTATTGCAAATAGAGGTATAATGATATTTTGTTATTCTATATTTTTTATAATTACTAATATTTTATTTATAATTTATAGAAGATTCTGGTGGTATGAACTGTAAATTGACTGAATTGGTATGAGCTAATTATATCAATGCTTAATAAAAATATAGTAATAGAGATAAAAATACTGATAAATAATTTTTCATATATGTAAAACTTATATTATAAAATCCAAATATTTCAAATTCAAATAATTCAAATGAAGATATTACTCAAAGGTAAAAGCTATTTTTATTATTGTAAATAATAAATTTGTTCTCTACTTACGTAATGTTTCAAAAATAGATATGAGATATTTGTATCTGGGTGGGCTCTAAATTCAAATAAAAATTTTAAAAAGAGCTGTGGAAACATATATCAAAAAGTGTGAAATGTATATTAGAAAATATGTTTTATACTGAAACGGCAAATCCAAATTACAAATTTTCAGCACAACAAATGCATGAAGAACTTGTATAGCATGTTCAACTTGATGTGCTTGATAAAAATAATGTATCTAAAATTTCTACTATTCAGAATTGGATTACTGGTTTCTCATGAAAATGGAAAGAAGTTATGGTAATACATAAGTTAGAAGAAATAGAAAATACTAAAATATATAAAAAATAATAAAAAATAATAATAAAAAATATTGGTAATTTGCATTTGTTTATACAGTAAATAATATTTTTTATTTTTTTTTTATATTTTTTATATACTTAATTATAACTAAATATACCTTCGAATCTGATATTGCCTCAATGTAAAGTTTTTAAAAATAAATATAAAAACTGTGTTTTCTTTTATTGAATACTTCTTTAGCATTTTAAGAAAATTGTCATATAATTTTTAACATTAAAATGTAACCATATGTGGTTTTTTATAATCATGACATTTGATACTTCAAACTTTTATATAATAAGGTTACCCCAAATTTTTATAGTAATTTATCACAGATCATAGCCAGATCACCACTTAATAATATTTTAAGTATGTTTTAAATATATACTTAAAATATACTTACTCATTATCTAAATTAAGTATTTTTCAAGTATATTTTAAATATATTTTAATTATAAAATAATAATATTTTAAGTAAATTATCACAAATATAGTTAAGTATATTTTAAATATATTTTAAATATATTTTAATAATATTTCAATAATATTTTAATTATTTTTTAAGTATTTTTTAAATATGCTGTGACCATGATTACCTTTATTATACATGATAAACTAACAACTAATAACAGGAAAACTATTGTTTAAAAGATCACAAAGCAATTAGATGAATATATTAAAGTTGGAAGGTTTATACTATGGAGAAGTATAAGAAGTAAAGGATTGGTATTGTGGATTTGTTCAAAAGAAGCTAAAGGTGTGAGGATTTAAAGGGATATGGAGTTTTACACTAAGTTTATAGATATTCACAAAGAATATTACAAGTTTCATACAGAAACCACAATAATTCACACAGAATTATTATAATTAACCCAGATCACAAAGCAAGATTAATTATAAACAGAATAATATCAAGATCACAAAGTAGAGTATTATTAAGAAAGTGTTTCACTAAGAAATCAAAAGGTTAAATTAACACTTTGTCACAAAGACTTTATTAATAATTTATTACAAATATCAAGTTCAGAATATAATCAAGTTCTAACTGTCCTTTCACTAAGGATGAAAGCTATCTCTATTTATACAAAATTACTATCCTGTTGCGAGATTATAATTATTATTCTCAAGAAAGCTCTGGAAATTTCTGTCACATTCAGGATATTCTATAAGCTATTTTTGTAAATGAGTCATTTGTGCCAGAGATATTTACTAGAGGTGTTGACCAAAGGTGTTAACCAGAGGTGTCAACCAAAGGTGTTGACTTTGCTTTACAATCATTACAAAATAATTTACATCTGTTACTTGTAAATAATAATAGTACTAATATAAATGTAATACAAATAAGAAAATCTAACTAATAAAGTATACTAATAAATATAATAATAATAATAATAAAATAATAATATATATAAAAAATAAAGTCAACAATGTGTATTTCTTATAGGGCACAAACTCAATTCTGAGAAGACATACTATTACAAATTTAGAAAAGAAGAGATAAATATTTATTTATAAAGAATAGAAAATAAAGAATAAAAAATAAAATATATATTTACACATCTGTCATGATTCTGAAAAGGTATAAAATCCTATAAACCTATAAACTCAATTTTAAGGAGACATATTATCATGAACTTGGGAAAAAATAAAAGATAAGTATTTATTTATAAAAATAAAAAAAATAAAAAATAAAAAATAAAATATACCTTTGTGCAGCTGTCGTGATTTTGAATACTATATAATCACACACTCCACAAACTCAATTCTAAGATCTTCATACATATCTGCTACAAATCTAAACAAGAGAAAGTAAATATTAATTTAATTATAAAATAAAAAATATAAGAATAAAAAATTGAACTTACCTTTGTCCATCTGCTACAATTTCAAGAAGTTATAGCTATAACAAAAAATAAAAAATAAATAAAAAAAATTTATTTTTTATTAAAAAAAATAAATCTATTATCTATTTTAAAAACCATAGCTATAAGAAATAAAAATATTATGTTAATTACTATAGATTGACAGTATACAAGTAATTGCAAAAATAAATTAAGAACATTTAACATAAAACTGTTCAATAATGAACTTTCTACCTTGGAAAAATTAAAGGATAGGTTCCCTTCTGTCTATAGTAATACTATTTGCATATGATACAACTCCACCCAAGAAAATCAATTACATGTGTTTACATGTTCAGAAAATTCTGTAAATATAAACATGTGCAAACATAGCTTTATAAATACTTTAATTAATAAACTACTATATAGCAAAAAAAAAAACAAGCAGTAACATCTATACTAAATTCTGTAAATTAACAGAACTTGAACTGTTGTCATTTATCTCTGTTCGAGATCCTAATGAATTCTCTTTTGTGGATCTCATTTTGGGTTTGATACCAATTTCTCTAATTAACAGAATCTAATCAATTGTTAAAGAGCCAAAATAATTGACAAATCCCTTGCAGCTTTTAAAACTTTTATATACAAAAACATCTGGGTATCTAGATACAACACAGTTAGAAATTGAAAAAAATCAGTGGGCATTAAAAACAATAAACAAAAGAAAAAAGTACAGATCACTTCAGTTATAGGAATACAAATTTCTAATATAGATAATAATAATAATAATACTAATTTGAAATCATTAAATAGGAATAACAAGCTTCAGCTTGTTAATGTTCTTAGTAGGCAATACAGTGTTATTAAATATGATATGAATTGGGTTAGTTTATATAATATAAGTTGTTCAGCTAGACTTTAACATGCCGAGAACAATTTTTATTGTTAGGCAGTAGGTTGCAAGCATATCTTTGTTTATTTTCAGATAGGTATATAAAGTTAGTCTGAGTTTCATCTTTTAATAGTTATTAGAATAAGTTGTGTATTTTATATTATGTAATAATAATATAAAAAGACTTTCTCTTCTTCTAATTAATAAATTTGAGGCAAGGCCTCACTGGAACAAAAAAAAATTTTTTAAATAAGTCCTAATGAATAAATCAACCAATTAGAGTGTTACAAGTGTCTAATATGATCTGAATTTACAAACCGAATTGATAATCCAGATCAAATTATAATAAATATAAATTATCACGTGGATAATTCAGTTTCAAAAGTTTTAACCAGGTCACCTGTGGTGTCCAGATGAATCCAAATTATATAAATCTGGTTCTAAGCTCTAATTCTAATAAATGATAGATACATTATGAAATATAAAACAAATTTCTGGAGTTTTATAAAACAAAAACAATGAATATTTAATGAACATTTGATGATTGATTATTTTTATAAGCTCAAGAAATAATTTTTCAAAGAGATCTGGTCTCATATATAATTATTCAAGAGCACCTTTGAGAATTGGGATAGCATCTATGATATTGTTAGTTATGTTGTGTTGTCATTAAATTAAATAAATATTATGTCCAATTATGTATTTTTTATATGAAAAAATAAATAAATATATTTTTTTGAAATGAAATAATTATCATCTTAAAATAAAAATTTATATATTTTAGAACTTTTTGTTTCAATTGAACTAGGATTATTTTGCTACCAGAGATACAGTAAATTGAAGATTATCATGTAGAATATTGAATTCTTTTATTTAATTATATGGTATAATAAACTATGTACAGCATATTGTTTACCAAATTAAAATCTATGCTTTGTTAGTAATATTAATTAAAATTAAACTTTTGCTTTGTTAATAATGTTAACAAATAAACTATAAACTCATTATTAAATAAAATTAGAACAGTATACAGAAAATCATAATCTTGTTATTTAATGAAATTCAAAAACAAAGTCCATTTAATTTATTTATTTGCTGTAATCATTGTATAACTATCAAATAAACCAAAGTTTAGGGTTTCAATTGATTCTTGATACATCCATTAAAGATTTTAAATTATTGTCATTTTTTTTTGATTTTTTAATTACACAGATAATACCAATTCAAATTAATTATTGCAAGTTTGTTATTTTACTGGTTTGTCAATTTTTTACATTCAGTTAGATAATATACAATAATTTATTGTGAAATATTATTTACTGCTCATTGTAACCATAATAATTGTAGGTCTACCATTCTCAAATAAATGAATGGTCTAATCTATAGTTATGAATGTTTAATTGTAAGTGCATGTATATTTATTTATTAATTCTAACATGGATAATTATATTATTAAAGGATATTAATTTTTTTTGATTTATCATGAAAATATTTTCATTATTCTTAATTAAGACCCCTATTCTATATTAAATTTAGTAATAATGAAATAGAATAA